TCCCGGGTTCCAGAGCCCCCGGTCCAGAGAAGGCACCATTGACGCCAGTTAAAATCTGCCCGGGCCCCTCGCTGCAGGGGGAGGTGAAAAACTCGGCCAATCTGTCCCGGGGGAAATTCCTTCCTGACCCCACTTATGGTGACCAGATGGACCCTGAGCATGCGGGCGAGACCCGGCGGCCACACGCCGCGATGGGCTGGGGGCAGGAATCTCACCAGCTCGCTGTCCCTGGCCGTGTGGGGCACGGACGCCTCCTCTGCCAGCTACTGCCCCATGTACCCTCGCAGGCCACGCCCTTCTGGAGCAAACCAACACAGGGCAGCGGGGCCTCTGGGGGCTGGCCGCTCTGTCTCCCCCCCACACACGCTGACCGCAGCTGGGCAGGGCCAGAGCCAGCCCACCGGTGCCCCTCAGCCCCCGGGACTCACCGGACCTTCTCCAGCAGCTGGTTGTACTGGTGCAGCTCCAGGGTGACATGAGCCAGCAGCCGCTTGTCGTCCGCGCCCAGCTCCATGGGGGGGACGCGCCCCCCGAAGAACTTACAGACGAACATCCCGGCCCTGAGGGGGGGGGAGAGAGTGAGCCACATCCCACCCACGCCAAGCTCGGCCCATCTCCCCCCACATCCACAGCCCACTCCAGCTCCCACCCCCCGCAGACCTCGCTGCAGCCCGGCGCCCCCTGCGGGGCCCACCCGGTACCTGTTGACGAAGTTGCCCAGGTTGTTGAGCAGCTCGGAGTTGTTCTTCAGCATGAGGTCGGTCCAGGAGAAGGCGCTGTCCTGCCCCTCGGGGCGCAGGAAGAGCAGGTAGAAGCGCCAGATGTCGGCGGGGATCCCCGTGTCCTGGGCCATGTCCCCAAACACCCCCATGCCGCGGCTCTTGGAGAACTTCCCGTCCTCGTAGTTCAGGTACTCTGGGGACGACGCGAGAGACTGGAGTCTGCACGTCATCCCCCCGAGCCTGCCCCCCAGCCCTGACCCACAACCTGCAGCCCCCACGACCTAACTCCTCCCTGGCCCACCGAGCACTGCCCCCTAGCAACCCCGCCCTGCCCCCCGTACTGCCCCCTAGCAACCAACCCTGCCCTGCCCA